CCTAACCTGTGACCGAGCATTTCTATCCCTGGCACATGACCCCATTTGGGGTCTCCAAACCCTGCAGACTCCTGTGGTGCACACCCACACTGCTCCTCCCCAGAGGAAGAAGGGGTATCTCCCCAGTTCTGCTGCTTGCTGGGCCCCTGCTCAGAGAACAGTCGCCCGGTGGTGCTGTGGTTTGGGGTTTATGGCGATCCCGAGCTGAGAGCCCACTTCTGGACTCGCTGATTACAGCCAGCTTCCCTGCTCCGATGCCTGGGAACTCTGCTGCACTTAGGCACCCTGGTCTTCTGTGACCCTGGGGATCTTGAGACCACACTGTCCCATCTAGGATTCCACCTCGCTTTGCCACCTGAGGACCTTTCAGGCAGGGATGTCCCTCACCGGAGCAGACTTCTAAAAGTTCCGATTTTGTGCTTGGCTGCTCTATTACTTTCCGGTAGCCGGCTTACAGAGGCTTCCTCCCCCCGTGGTTTATCTTCTCATATATCGTGTTGGATTCACTTCCTCTCACCTCCTATCTTGCAGAAAGTGGTCACATTTCTATTTGTAGAGTTGCAGCTATTCTTTTCTTCGATCTCTGGTTGAATTTGCAGGTGTTCAGAATGATTTGATAGCTATCTAGCTGAATTCCTGGGACCAGATGAAACTAAGATCTCCTACTCCTCTGCCGTCCTGGACTTTGTCTTAATCTTTAAACTTTTATGGTATCTTTATGCCATGTAAATCATTTTCTTTTCTTAAATGAACTTAAGCTATTTAGTGGGAAAGATAGCAGGTGATCCTTTGACCTTAGCTAGCATTTTAGAGTTATCTGGGATTGCCAGTGGAATTATTTCTGGTACCAATTCTAATGGTGGGGTGTGGGGGGGATTCCCCCCATACCACCAATCAATTCTTGGACACCAGCAGGGTATCGTAATTCTGATACTATCTATCTGGAGATCCTGCAGGTTAAGGGCCTCAGGCTTGGAAGACTGCACCCCATCCCCTACTTCAAATGCCAGTCACAAGCCCTGGTTGATACCTGTGCTTCTAACCTACCAGCTACAGACTGGAGGTTCCCACAGCCTCCTCCTTGGACTTCAGATGCCAGTCTGACGTAACAACCTGGACTTCTTACTGGCTGGCTGTAAATCAGAGATTCCTCTGACCCCTCTTTGGGTTTGATTTATTTGCCAGAGAAGCTCAGAGAACTCAGGGAAACATTTTATTTATTAGATCACCAGTTTATTGTAAGAGGACATAACTCAGGAACAGCTAGATGGAAGAGATGTATAGAGCAAAGTATGGGGAAAGGGCTCAGAGCCTCCATGCCCTCTTCAGGCTTCCACTCTCCTGGTATCTTCATATATTCACCAACCTTGAAACTCTCCAAACCCCTCCCTTTTGGGTTCACTACATAGACATGATTAATTAAATCTTTGGCCATTGGTGATTGACTCATCCTCCAGCCCCTCTTCCCTCTGGGAGGTCTGGGAATGGGACTGAAAGTTCCAACCCTCTGAACGCATGGTTGACAACCCTTGACAACCAACCCTCACCCTTAGGCATGGCACGTAAGTCACTTCATTAACATAACAATAGACACCTTTTTCACTCTCTGCACTTAGGAAATTCCAAGAGTTTTGGGACCTGTGAGCCAGGAACTGTGGAAGAAGACTAAATATATATGAGAAATATATTTTGGTTATCTGAATAATCATACATATAGATTTCTTATAAATTGCAGTGTCACCCTTTCTCTTGGTGAAACTACAGAGCCTATTGGGTTGACATAAACTCTTGGAAATCAGGAAGCCTTTACCCTTCTCCCTGGACCTTGAGCCTAATTCGTAATATGCCAAGACTGCCATCTGGCTAGACTCTTCCTTTTAGGCTGTTTCTGTGTGAGTACAGGCCGTATTCAGAGTCAGTTGGCCTCTCAGTTTTCTGCCCAGAGGATTCCTTTACAAAACTTTAAGCCTTCTGGAAGTATGGTATTTCAACCAGCATTATATTATGTGTGTGTATTTAATTCATAGTTTTGAAAGTTTATTGCATACCCACTACCTGCATAGCTTTTGGCTAGCTGCTACATAAGACATAAAAGAAGTGTAAAATAGTTGAGATGGTGAGATGGTTTTTTTTTAAGCTTACAGTGAAAAGGAGGACATTTGTCCAAATATTAGAAGTAAATAGAAGGCTGAATGTCCCAAGCAAGTCATTGGCTAAGTTAGAGTGGGTAAGGGGATACGGAGTAGGTGTGATCAAAGAGAGAAAGGATGCCACCCAGCTGGAAGGAATCCAGAAACTGAAATAGCATTTGTTCTAGTTCCTCAAGGGTGAATATGATGATAGAAAAAAACTGAAATAGCATTTGTTCTAGTTCCTCAAGGGTGGATATGATGATAGGAAAAACTGAGTCTCTGGGTGGATTGCAGGCAAAGGACATGAGTGAAGTTGTTAAAAGATAAACTGAGGCATATTTAAAATTTTAAGAGCTTATTTGAGCAAAAATTTATTCCAGCTGGGCAGTGACAAACTGGAAGTGGTTAGGAACTCTGCTGATAGGAACTAGGGGATAAACTTATATAGAGAAAGTGCAGAAGCGAAGAAAGGAAATTATTTGATTGGCTATAGCTTAAAGCCTAGTTGGCTCTTTGTGGTTGGTATCCTTAGCATTTTGATTTTGTCACTTTGAGGCATTTATAGGCTTTGACTTTGGTTTTGCTCATGTAGGCACCATGGCATTAGAGCCACCTCAGTCTAATGGTCTCCTTGTTAAATTAATTTAACAAGTTATAGAGCTGTAAAAATGCAGGGCCGATTTTAATTTGAATTTAGAGTAGAGTAATGAGGGGAGACTGGAGAAGATAACACTAGAATTTGCAAGTCAGATCATGTCCTTCTTTGCTTATGGTTTCTCATCTCATTTAGGGAAAAAGCCAAAGTCCCTAAAATGGCCTACAAGCTACTGCATAATCTGTTCCCTTCCCCGATTCCCACTACTTTCTTCCTCCTTCTTCTCTAGCTCTTTCCCTTGATCAGGCAGAGAGCGCCACCTCAGGGTGTTTGTTTCCTCTGCCTGAGAGCTACGTGGCTCACCCTTAATTCTTTCAGGTCACCCTTATCAGAGAGGCCTGTCCCGACTTCTGTATATCACCCCCTCTCACTCCTGTCACTGTCCATTCCCCCTACTTTGTTTTATTTTTCTCAGTACTCAGGAAGTACAAATAGAGGATCACTAACATTCTATGTATGTTTGCTTGTGAATTGTTGCCTTGTGTTAAGCCATTTGAGTGCACATTCTCTGGGACTGAGGACTTACTGTTGTATCCCCAGGACCTAGGACCAGTACCTGGCACATAGCTCATATTCATATATTTATTAGAGAAAAAAGAAAATCAAGAGCAGGAAAGAGAGTGAGAGGGAGGGAAGGAATTGGATATAGGTGCAACAGGATTTTGCATTCTAAGCAGGGGAGTACAAATTTAATTCATTAGAAGGCTTTGAACAGGGGAGTGAGAATGAAAATATTTACTTTAGGGAGATTAATTAGGTGATGATGTATAGGATGGATTTTTTTAAAAAATTCCATCAGTCCCTCCTTCCTGTCCCCAAGCACTATGTAACATAGCTATTTGTGCTTTAAAAAACAAAAAATAATAAAACTTTAAATTTTGAAATGTTTTGACTCTCAAGAAACTGCTCAAATTGCTAAAAGCAAATTCCCTGTACTTTTCCCCCAATTTGCTCCAATGATAGTATCTTACAGTACTGTAGTTCATTGTCAAATCCAGAAAAATGACCTTGGTATAATACTATTAACTCTGACTTAGGACTTAGTTGAATATTATCATACTTTACATACACTTTTGTGTGTGTATGTATAGAATTCTAAAATTTTGTCACATGTGTAGAAACATGCTTTTTAATGTTTCTACATCTGATTTTAAAGTTTTTGACCAAATGTTAGACAATCTCCTCTTTAATAATACTCTCCAAGGGGGCACCTGGGGGGCCCAGTCGTTAAGCTTCTGCCTTCGGCTCAGGTCATGATCCCTGGGTCCTGGGATCCAGCCCCCTGAGTCCTGGGATCGAGCCCCGCATCAGGCTCCCTGCTCGGTGGGAAGCCTGCTTCTCCCTCTCCCACTCCCCCTGCTTGTGTTCCCTCTCTTGCTGTCTCTCTGTCAGATAAATAAATAAAATCTTTAAAAAAAAATAATACTCTCCAGGTTCTTGGCCTCCCACATTTACATAAAAATAAAGTGAATGGCCTGTTGTTTTATTTCTTTGTTCTTCTGCTCAGGTGTTCCTTGTAGCCTTTTCTTTCTACAATAAAGATGATTTAAAACTTTTACTTCATCAGTATTGACAAACCGTATTACTTATCAGGTCTTATTTTTTTTGTTTTGTTTTAACCAGTGCATTATATTATTATATAACATTTCTTTCTTTTGGTCATTTATCTACTTAACTTTCAGATCACTTCTGATAGTAAAATATTTCTATAAGACTGTTTTAACAGGGTTCTAGTACCCTACCCTACTAATTAGAAGTATTCTGGTAAGTAATTTACCAAAAATTTCAGAACTGGGAAGGCTAGTGGGTGGGTATGAGATTAGCTAAATTATTTAAAGTCCTTTATTCATTCTTTTAAAAATTAAACTTCTGATGTTTTTAGATATTCTGCTTAGTAAAAGGCCACTTTATTAATTTTTATATATTGAACATATTTGTCTTTAAGTTATTTACAGACTTTCAAAAACAACGTGTTAATGTTAAAATCTTATAATTTTGCAGCTGTGTTCTATATGTGCTATATATATTTATAGATGTTCTATGTGAGAGAAATATATACAAATATATATAGCACATACATACTTACATGTTGCTGATGGTTAGGGTGATAATTGATGCTCTTCAATAGGATGCTGGATTAATATGCAGGCCTGTGTGTGACTGCTGAAGAAAAACCAAGGTCTGTGTGAACATACTTGATACATTTCTTGCAGGTTCTGAGTTGTGTCCGCACAGAATGGGATCCACTGGATATTCGCTTTGGCACCAAACAGCCTTATCAGGTGTTGACAGTGGAGCGCTCCGTCAGTGTAGACAAAGAGCCCATGGCTGACAGCTGCATCTATGAATACGTTCGGAACAAAATCCAGTGTATATCAGTAACCAGAATACCACTAAGATCAAAGGCCATCAGCTGCTGCAGGAATGTTACTGAAGACAAACTGATTCTGGGCTGTGAAGATTCTTCAGTAATTCTTTATGAAACTCACCGTAGAGTAACTCTCTTAGCCCAGGCTGAACTTTTGCCTTCATTAATAAGCTGCCACCCAAGTGGCGCCATTCTATTAGTTGGCAGCAACCAAGGGGAGCTTCAGATTTTTGATATGGCTTTATCCCCTATTAACATCCAGCTCCTGGCTGAAGACCGTTCACCCAGGGAGATTCTGCAGTTCAATAAATTCTTTGACATTTCCAGCAGTCTTGTTCAAATGCAGTGGATAGCTCCTCGGGTGGTTACTCAGAAGCCAGAATGTGGGGACATCTATGATCTCCTCTTCCTCAGGTTTGACAGAGGACCTTTGGGTGTACTTTTGTTTAAACTTGGTAAGTCAAGGAAGTTGGTGAGTAAGTAAATTAAAATGTTTATGATGATGATGTTATGATTAAGAGAATAAAACCATTCTAGAAATGGAGGTTTTCTATGTTATTCCATAAATAGGTTTGCCTTTCAAACATTTCATATAGTTTCTTTTTTTTTTTTTTCAAGTAATCTTTATGCCCAACCTGGGGCTCAAACTCACGACCCTGAGATCAAGAGTCACGTGCTCTACCAACTGAGCCAGCCAGGTGCCCTCATATAGTTTCTTTAAGAAAGCTTTGTGGGTGATCTTCTAAATGTTAAGGAACATTAGATAGTGAAGAATTTGGAAATTGCACTAATTGCCCATTGTGATGCATGAAAAGCTTAAACTTCCACATTTGATACTTTCCAAAATAAATACATATGTAAATATTTTAAAAGTACTTACTATGCCCATTAAAAAGTTCTGTGTTGGGGTACCTGGGTGGCTCATTCAGTTAACTGGCTGCCTTTGGCTCAGGTCATGATCCCAGAGTCCCAGAATCGAGTCCGTGCTCAATGGGCAGCCTGCTTCTCTCTCTCTACCACTTGTGCTATCTTTTGCACTCTCTCTCTCTCAAATAAATAAATAAAAATCTTTAAAAAAAGTGTTATAGGAATAAAATACTTTTTCTATTAAAAAGTTATTTTAGATAATAAGTATCCATTGCTTCCCAGATTGGAATGTGTAAGACAAGTGTTTTAAAAGAAGAAAAAGCAAATGTTTGGAGAATTTGGGCAGAGAGTTGTATAACTTTTTTTGTTTCCTTTTAGATAAAAATATTGAAAAAGATTTTCCAATATTATGAAAATCATGTGTTAATATAGCCCATTTCAACCAGGAAACTTTTTTTTTTTAATTTTAAAGATTTTATTTTTAAGTAATCTTTACACCCAACGTGGGGCTTGAACCTACAACCTGGAGATGAAGTGTCGTATGCTCTACTGACTGAGCCAGCAAGCGCCCCTCAACCAGGAAACTTTAAAACAAAATTGTATTAGTATGATTTGTCTTTTGTGGTTTTGCCTTCCCAGCTATGCCCTATAATATTCTTTAGGTAGTTTTGTATAACTTAACATTCTTGAGAGAACCTCACTTAAGTTTAAAAACTAGATTTTAATTAATGCCTATTATTACAACTTGAAAACATAGAAAAGTAAATATATTTTTAAAACCCATTACATGATTTGTCTCTGTGATATGAAGTTAAGTTTTTAAAGACATTGAAGTATTTGTTAAATAGCTGTCAGTTTACTTTTTTTTTGGTAGTGCATCTACCTCTGAAATTGAACCCATGAAATAAATCTAATTGACAGTGACTTGATTAACCTGAAAGATATAATGGATATAACATGAGGGCTATATTCTCTCCCTGTAATAAAAATGCAGCTAAATCTATAATATTCATGTTGTCCAAGAAAAAAATGTTTGGAATCTCATTCATTGTAAGATAATCCAGTTCTACTTTGCCCAGCTACATGTTTAACAGTTGTATGTCTCCATACACAACACTCATTAAAGTGGATGTTAGCTGTTTTGCATGTCTGTTAAAACACACACACACACACACACACACACTCACTCTCTCTCTCTCTCTCTCTCTCTAAATTACCCAGTTACCTGTCAAACAAAAGGCTGTCTGCCCACATCTACCTAGCTTTTCTTCAGCCCTCCCTTGTGGGCCTATTCACAACAGCTTTGCAAAAAGCACAGCTTTCTCTTCCTATCTCTATCACATTTGCCTTCTTACTAAAGTAAACAGGCTCTCAGTGTAGGGATTTAGAGGGCTTCCTGCTAATTGCCAGCTTGTAAACTTAATTGGACTGTCTCCCTGGGCACTGTTCCTAAATCAATTAGGCAATGAGTTGGCTGTCACCTCTTTTCCCAAGAAGGTCTCTTGGAAGAGAATTATCCAATAGAAGTCAGCATTCAAATGAAAAGGTGATAACTTCTGCAACTGACATTTATCATTTAAATTTTATTTTCAATATGACTCGTAAGTTTTATGGGATAGGGGAAATTTTACAGACTTACAGACTCTTTAAAAGATCTGAATAAGGAGTTTCCCAGAATTAAAAAAATGTATTATAAGATTAATATTTATTACAGATTATTTTTTCTAGGAAGAGTCGATTCCTTGAAACAGTAGATTCCAACTAACAGATCTTTTTTTTTTTTTTAAAGAAAACCCTGTTTAAAGAACAGATTTTTCTTAGGTTCTGCTACTAAATACATCCAAAAATTTTAATATACTTCTTGAATTAACACAGTGCTGATTCTGGGCATCCATGTGGAATTTTCATGTATAATTCAAGTTACTGCATATATAAACAGGTAGTTGCATGTGCAGTTTCTCCACTAGGGAGCATTTACGAGATTTTTTTCATAAGCTTGTTATGCAAGCCTTTGGAAAATTTGACATGCAAGGTGTAGCTTACAATTTAAGAAGCTGACATAGATCATAGTTTAAAATAGAATGCTGTCATATGTAAACGTGGCAGTGGGTGGTGGTGCCAATATGCTAAGATTTTTGAAGTTTGACTTTTAGAATAGGTCAGTGTAATGTTGAAGGAAAACTTTGTTCCAAGGCTAGAACTTCCATTCTAAATCCTTATAATCATCACACGAATGTTCTGGAGATTAAAAGGCCATCACTACTGTTAGAAAAATTTGAAGAGCATGTCTTCCTCAGGAGGGAGCTAGAAGTATCATCCTCCCACATGGAAGCCAAGAAGTACTGTTTTATATAAAGCAAAATGTAATCAGACTTCTTTGCTTGGCAATCATTGTCCCATATTTCCACATATGTAGACTGAGATTAACTTTCAAAAGAGGAGTCCCTAATTATATTACAGAGATATTAAAGCTTTTCCATTCTCATCAGTACCTTTTTCAACTTTCACTGCTCTCTTTAAACTCACATGATCAGCTCCCTGCCCTCTCAGCAGAGTCTTACCTTTTAATTGGCACTTCATTAAGTTTATTTGCTCCTCACCACCTACCCACCCCCCCAACCAACCACTTATCTTGAACATAAATCTTACCATGAACATAAATCTTTCCTTCTCGGTGGAAAAGGAGCCCTTCCTCTTGTCTAAGACTAGTCCCACTACTAGTTCCAGTCTCCATCCTACTACATCCTACTACAATCTTGCTATGCCAGGAGATACAGGCCCAAGTCACACCATAAAACAACATCTCTCCTTAAAATTGTTTCTCCTCTGTTACTAATCAATCAAATGTTCACCTTCTTTTCATAGACTCACTGAAATAATAGTGAACACTGACTTTCTCTGCTTCTTCACTTCCCATTCATTCCTCACAGTACCAAGTTCTGACTTGGATCTTTAGTGTTCTCCGGGAACTGCTCTTGGAAAGGTCACCAGAGACTTCCTACTTGATGCATATATTTCTTTTATGTTACTTGATGACTTTTCAGCCTTTGATGCTTGCTGACCAATTCTGTCACAGAATTCTCATCATACTGCCTTCTGTGACCTGGGATACACCTTTTCATCAGTTTTTCATGCTCTTCTTCTGCATACTCATGAATATGCTGAGGCTCCCTAAGGTTCCATTGTTAGCTCTCCTCCCATTTGATACAGATTGAGAATTTATTTCTAATTTTCTTTCTCCCCAAACCTGTGTCTTCTCTTATATTCTGCATTTTGGTGGATGGTACAATTATTCAGATGGAATCCCAAGTCAGAAATCATCCTAGAATCCTCCCTCACCCCTAAGGCCATATCCAATCAGTGACCAAGTCCCATCAGTTTTACCTTCTAAATACTATCAGAAACATCTCTTGTCAGCCTTGCTGTCATGACCTTCATCTCGACCTTCCCTGTTTTCAAGCAGTGATCAAGTAGTAGTTTTCTGTCTATAATCTTCTGCCTTCCAATCTTCTCATCCCACCCCACAATTAATCCCCTGAACTGCCACCAGAGTCATCTAACTGCAGATTTGGTTATGGATTCTCCAGCTTGAAATCCTTCAGTGGTTGATAAGCCCTTGTCTGCCTCTCAGGCTTCATCTCCCCAGCTGTTTTTGCAGGACCGTAGCTCCCCATCCATGGCATGTGCTCTCACACTCTCTCCTTCCCATGGTGTTTTAAATAGTATTCCATCCACCTGGAGTGCTCTGACTAGAGCCTGCAAAGTTGGGAAAAGGTTAAATGTTCCAGTGATTATATCAAGCAAGAAATAATTAAAGCTAACCTCTTCCCTCTCATAGGATTTTGAAAATTACAGGCAAAATGTATGTGTGCATATGTGTGTCATTCTGTCGAAAAAACAAATAGTATGATTTTTCTCTTAGTATTTTTGTAAGAAGTATATTTTCTTCAAGAGAGTTATTTTTATCAAGCTATTGAAATATACTTTACCCAAGTGGTAATTGGGGGTAACTTACTGCTGGAAAGAAATGTGAGATAATTCATTAGATGCCTGCTCATCTTAAAATTGGATTTCATATCATTTGAAATGGACTGTTATTTGAGATAGCATTCTGCTTTCTTTAAACTGGAGTGCTGATGGATTTTTAAATCAAGTTTATTGGGGTATAATTTACATAAAATTTACCCATTCCAAATGTACAGTTTAATGAATTTTAACCAATGTGTATATTCTCATGATTACCACCACAACCAAGATATAGGACATTTCCATCACCAAAAAATTCTCTCAACCCCCTTTGCAGCCATTCCCCATCTCCCTCAAAGCTAAAGAGCACTGACCTGCTTTCTGTCATTACTGATTAGATTTGCTTTTTCTAAATTTCATAGAAAAGGACTCATAAAGTATGTATTTTTTTAATGTCCTACTACTTTTACTCAGCATTTATCTGTGAGAATCTTCCATATTAGTGTGTATATCTGTAAATTTTCCTTTACATTACTGAGTAGTATTCCATTGTATAGATAAACCACAATATTGTTCCACATGTTGATAGACATTTGGGTTGTTTCCAGATTTAAGCTGATAT